GCAGGTAGGTTTGTTTTCAAAGGCAATGAAATGTATAAATCCAACCTGGGGTGCTAACTCACTATGATCCCAGCACTTGGGAGACTGACACAGTATGAATAACACGTTCCAGGACAAGCTGTCTGAAAATATACACACAGAGATACAGATTTTAAATTTTGGTGTAAAGTCAAGTACACTGACACAAGACTGTGATTCTAAACTGAAGCTGGAGATGCCAAGAAAAGGACCTGCACAGTCTCCCAGGAGAAAAGTCCCTGTCTAGTTGAAGACTTCCCTGAGGATAAAATTGAGCCGGGAAACGGCTAAGTTGCACATCTTCCTGACGGTTCAGTCACTATCTCCAGACAGGGTCCTCATTTAGGTCTCCTAAAGGCTCAGGTCCCAGATTCCAAAATGCACCTGGATGACAGTTTTCTTTCTTAAAAAAGACTCTTGATGTCTTGTCCATTGCTTACTAGTGAATCATACCTATACATTAAGTTTAGCTCTGGCCTGTGCGACCCCACCTGTCTCTCAGGTGTACCTCCATGCTCCCTCTTTTTGCCTTCAAAGTCCTTCAGTCACAGCTGCTGCTGCAGATGAGGCTCGTGGTTCCATAGAATGTGTGTTCATCTTTTTTTTTTTTTTTTTATTAACCTCTGTCCTCCGAGCTTCTCTGTCAGGTTGTCCTAGATGTTCAGCATTGGTTAGCAAGGGTTTGGTAGAGATCAGTTATAGCCAAGAAAGCAGTATGAGCTCTCCCCACATCACGGTGGGCTTCCCTCTGTAGCTTGTGAAAGTTTGTAAAGTCACCTCCTCCTTATCAGACTCAATTGTCTGATGAGTGTCCTGTGTGGGAACAGTGTCCCAACATTTAAAGCTAACAGGCATCCTTGGCAGAGCCACATGGCTGTGTGTATGCCAGCAGTCTTAGAGGCAAGTTTGTGTTTCTTGGATCTGTGTGAGGCTTGTGAATTTTGCCAAAATCTGGCAGAAACGTTGGCATAAGCCAGTGTTTGTCATCTACTGAGTGATAAGGGAAAGAATGGGGCAAATGCATTGAAAGGTAGGGAAGGAGATTGCAATAAAGCTTTTTTTTTTTTTTTTTAATGCTGAGGTGAGGTTTGTTGGTTTGTTTTTGTTTTGTTTTTTGACAAGCACACACTTAAAATGTCCACCGTGTAAGGAGAGTCAGTCTACATTTGTGATCAGAAACCAGGAGGAATAGCAGCTGCCTTCTGGGTTGGGGTTTGTTAGTTTTGTAGAATTTAGGTCTCCAGTTAACACCAGCTGCTGTTCTGGGCCATCACTTAGAGTGTTCAAGGCACTGAGTGCAGTCTTGAGACTTTCCATTCAGCCTTAACTAAAAATGTCGGTTGGCACCCACCTGCCCATTTCTCCTGAAGGCTCTTTGCTTTGTTGATCTTTTACTTCTGAAGTTGGGGTCTCTTCTCTGGTGCTGAAGTGTTTGGGTGCTCCCCTCCCCCAACAGAAGCCAGAAGATCTAGCTGTGGGAACCCTTATCTTCAGGGACTCATCTGTTTTGGCACAAAAGCATTCTGTTTTTTTTCTTTGGGCTTGGCTTTTTGTTGGCTTAAGTTTTCTGCCTTGGAGCTGGGAATTCCACGTAAGACTAATGCAAACTTGCCCACCTGGAGTGTAGGTTTTGATCTCTCTTCTCTCCCTGGGAACTTGAGACCTTGAAGGCCCCAAGCTTCAAGGTAGTTAATGGAACTTGTCACTTTTACTCACTTGCCACCAACCTCAAAACCTTAGGATACCTCTTGTACCTTTGACAGCTATCATTTTAGTATGTCTGTCCTACTGTAGGAGAGAGGCTGTCAGGCTTAAAAGAGGCACTAAGGTGGAAGGTCATGCTTTAGTACATGTTTAGTTTTGTCCTGAATTGAATAAAAAATTTTCTGTCGGTCTTTGTCAATGTTTTCATAGTGGCACCTATCACTCTAGAGATGAGAGCACGGACAGTGGCCTCAGCATGAGTAGCTACAGTGTCCCTCGGACCCCGGATGACTTCCTGAACAGTGTTGATGAAATGGATACAGGCAAGTATTTATTCACTTACAGCTGGTCATTGGCTCTGATGAACAACTTTGAGCAAAGATAAGAACTTTAAGTCAAATTCAGCCTGTTTTGTTTCTCCTTCCTTCCTAAACAGGGTTGCACTGTGTGGCCTGGGATTCACAGAGGCCCTGTCTGGAGTGCTGGGATTATGGCATGAGCCTTTAAAAAAAACACTGATTTTTACTTTCTTTTTGAGATAAGGTCTTGCTGTATAGCTCATGCAGAGATTTCAGTCACACAGCATCTTTTGATACCTGTTTTGTTAACGTGGACGTGGTGGGGGGGCTATTAGAAGTCTCTCTCATTTTAGGTTTGTGTTCTTAATTTTGGATAATTTTTTTATGTAGTTCATTGTGTCTCTTTTCTCTGAATTCTTTGGGTTCAACCTGGGGTATTAAGGGCTAGGAAGTCAGATGTGTGGGAGTTTAGTGTAAAGCCCACTGGTTTTATTGTTGCAATAGTTATAGAGGTATTGATGAGCTAAGACACACCTGCCTTGGAGGGGTGAGAAGACAGCAGGATGAGCACTTCTCGGTAAGCTAGCTGGGAGTGACACATTCACCCCAAAGTGTAGAGGAAGTGTACCGTCTTCATGCCCTATTTTATCTGATGCATGAAGACGGTATTTGGAGAGCTTGTTTTGTCCCTGCTTCTTATGGGTTCACCTAGGTCTGAAATCCCCTTTAGGAGTCATTTGAGCCCACCTCATGACTAGCCCCACCCTGGCTCCTCTGGCCCTTGTGTCTCCTCTCCAGTCCCCTGCAGCACTCACAAATGGTGTTTTCCTGAAAGTAAGTTCTGATGAAGCTCCAAGGAGGAGTGCTAATGTCATGGGTGAATCAAAAGTCCTGTGGGCTGCTAAGTTTGAAATGAGTCTGGGGCACTCACAGTCTTCGAGGACCAATGCTGTTGTGTGTGTGACCTGAGAGTAGAGCAGCATGTCCCAGAGTGCATCTGAGAGAAAAGACCCTCCATCTTAATCTTCTTAGGAATGGTGGCTCCTTTCTGGGAAAGAAAGGGAGGCATGGCTGTCATTTCTTGATGCTGCATATAGCTTTCCAAAGGAGTTTCAGTTCTTCATGGCCCACATCAGTGATTATTACACTTTGTAATGAGCAGCCAGGCTGTACATTACATGGCTGTGAAATGGTGAGGCACATACAAACTTGACATTACCTAGTGGTCTGTGTGTGATTTTCTAAGGTAGATTCTGGGTGTTCCCGGGACTTCATGCAGTGCAGCTCTGGTATACAACAAAACACTCTTGTTTATTCCTCCCCAAAACTAGGTGACACTATCAACCAAAGCACCCTGCCTTCACAGCAGAGCCGTTTCCCAGATTACCTTGAAGCCATCCCTGGGACAAATGTGGACCTTGGAACCCTGGAAGGAGATGCGATGAACATAGAAGGAGAGGAGCTGATGCCCAGCCTGCAGGAAGCACTGAGTTCCGACATCCTTAATGACATGGAGTCTGTGTTGGCTGCCACCAAGCTAGATAAAGAAAGCTTTCTCACATGGTTATAGAGTTGCCAGGAAGCCACTCTCTGAGTCTGAAGGATCCACGGAGCCTAAGATGTGCACCCCTGAAATTCAGATAAGCCAGTGGTTGAGTATTTGGCTATTACAGGAAACAGATGAACAAATGTCCAGCAGGGATCTTCCATCCACTGTTCTGCTCTTTTTCGACATCGCTGCTGTTAACGTTGCTGACCTGTTCACATCCTGCCCTAAAGAATCAGAACCACACAAAACAAAAACCCCCTTCGTGTTCTTTTGCTCTAGTAACTACTATTCTCTGGGGTTGCTGGGGAATATCCTGTTTGGGTGATGGATGTTCTTCCTTTTGCCCAGTGGTCTTCACCCATCATTTTAACTGAACACTCAGACTGAGAACTGAAATGCTTCATGTCAGAGCATGTGTTCAAGAGGTAGTTTCCTCCGTTGCCCTTGGCCCTCTGGTCCAGCAAGCCAAAAACATGGCATCTGATCTTAAGTAGTCAGTGCCATCGGGAGATCTCAAAGACTGGTGAACTTTTTATTTCTTCTCCTGGTGATGCCATTAGTCACATGGTAACCTGGATTTTATTTTAGAAGCTTATAAGGCATGAGACAGTTTCCATAGAAATATATTAATTATTGCCACATACTCTAGGCTAGGTTTGAGTGGGTATTTTTGTGGGAGCTGGTTGGTCTCCCTCCCTCCCTCCT